TGGCTTAAAGTGGGTTTGAAGAGCAACATTTTAATTTCACTATGATTAATTTAGAGCATCCACCCCAGTTCTTGAAATCCAACACAAACCACCAAACCAAGTCAATTCAGACATCTCAACATTCACTAATTCACTAATTACTGCTGGATTAGCTGGAATTTAAGATACACTGACTATTTTGTTTATTGTGGAAACTGGCCCCAGTGATAAACACAGGGTTCCGAAAAGCTGCATTAGTCTCCCATCGGAGCAAAACTGTGTTGAAGAGAATTTCAAGTTAAGTGGTTATCTAGTGAGGGAGGACTGATAAAGGGACTGGCTGATAAACAGAAAGGAGTCGACAGCCTCTCTCCTTTTTACAAAGTACTCTGCTGGCCTCTGCTGGCTGATTCAGGTCGGTATAGTTCAACTCACATAAGGCTTTGTAAACTTTAACTATCACCTGCCAAAAATAATTGATCTGGCCAGAATAATCAGTATGGCCCCATTCCATCCAGAGGATCTACTACTTTACCGCTTACAAACAAATGAAATAAATCGCCAAACTTCCCACATATGATTTATTGCTCAACATCCAAGCAGCTAATTTCTTCACAGTATGAGTATAGCTTATATTGTTCTTGCATTTAGGTTTCTTTCTGGGAGCTGTCGATAGAGTGAACAAGTGGAGTGAGAAGGTGATGAGTCAATCAGGCTGCTCTGATGAAGAAATGATCGCAAATGTCTACAATTCGGTTGTTTCACAAAAAGGAAAGCGGCTGCTTGTGTCTATGACTCAACTCATCAAAAAAAAAACTGTTCAAAAAATTTGCCAGTGATGCATTCTTAGACTGCTCATCTTTTACTTTTGAGTCTCATTTTGTTTGGAAGTTAGTTCTGATGACATTTAATGACAAACGTTGTTGCTATGGTCGGGTGAAGAGAAGATAACAAGTGATTATAATTAAGGACTGTGAGCAGTGAGCCATGATACCAAACAAGGTGATCTATGCTTTGAGTCAGTCTGCACTCATTACCTTAGGCAATTACCTTATTTAACAACTACAAGAACAATACATCTGTTAACTTGTAACCTGAGTGAGGTGTAGGAGACACCGCAACTGAACAGAACAGCCAATTTTACACATTAAAAGGATGGGCTCGGTTTATTGGGCGCTTTTTCAACAAAATTCCCAGGAACTTTACTTTCCCAAGAACTCATGTTCAGACACTTTCCTCAGGGTAAAAGTTCCCAAAGCAAAATAGTTATTTGCATGCTCTATTAAAAAGCCCTACAAGAATATAAGGCTTCTCAGCAAAGCAGCTTAGATATTAAAAAACATGGTGGTTGCCCTGCACACCATGTATGCATGATAATACAGCATGTTGGCAACACATAAGCTATACAAAAATCTCTTGGGCTGCCCTATCCCCAAACTACAAGAAGCAAAACGTGTTGGCTGTGTTCACATTTTTTAAAAGTGCCACGTGCATAACAATGTTGTGGAGAATGCTGGCATATGAACAATCAGCGGTGTTAAGCACTGCACGCCCAAGCTCCTAATATATACTGGAACATACTTCCTGCTGAGCAGGGAGTGGACTGGAGGTACAGATATCTCCCCAGAACCTATGTGACCAGGGAGAGGGATCCTTCAGCCTCCAGGTCATTGTGAAGCTGCTACAACCAGACAGAGTATAATTGTCCTAAAGTATTTGTTTGTCTCAAAGAAGTAGATCACCGATGAGAGTCAGGACTTAAGATATTGAAATAACACTGAAGGAAAATGCAATCAATTTCTAGATTTTCTCTATGGATTGGGATGAATTAATGACTGTCTTAACAAGCCATTTTCTACTAAAGGTGGGGGGGTGTTTGAACACATTGTTATTGCTGAAATCAGCTGTGAGTACTATCATCGTCACTACCATCTCACATCAGACACGTTGCCAAACAGAAGTAGTGTCAGAGAAGTTGGTGTGATATATGTGTTCAATAATTTAGCATAGTCCTTGTTGGGTTTTATAATAATCCAAATGGTTCTTAATCGGAAAACGATTCCTTATTACTCATTTAGGAATTTATCTGACTTCTAATTCAGATATCAAAACTGTTATGAGTGGAAAATATTGGCAAAACGTGTTGAAAAGTGCAAAAGTCCAGGTTAGGTTTCAAGGTTAGACAATTTTGACTCCAAAGTGGATTTAGTCACAGTACGATCATCTGACAAGCTGTTTTCTGAACTGATGTGAATGGTGGTCACTACTATTAAACTATTAAAACAAAACCCAGGTCATAGATGAATGAATTCCCCTTTAGTCAGACATGTATTGATGATAAATTAAAATCTAGTCCTTTTTTTTCTTCTAGTAAAGCTATTAATGTGTTATGTGGGAACCTAAATGATTTTTTCCTGCCTCTGTAAAAAAAAAAAAAAAATCAGCAGCATGCAATGCAGTGTTTGGACCATTGTTGTCTATTTAAATACACCTCGGAGTCACGTTTTACATTATTTTCACTCAGTAGCAATACATAACTGAAGCAAGAGAAGTGGAGAAGTAGCAGGATTACACCTCTTAAATCTACAGATGTACTGTTTAAGAAACAGCCTAAGAAATCATAAAACCACATTTTAACAGTTTAACTGTAAGCTCCTGTTCAAAAATATGGGTTTGGAATGTAACAAAACAAACTATTAGAAAATCGTATATCGCAACGAGGATTAGAGAACTCAAAGGTCCTCAAAAAACAGCTTGAGATTGATAACAAAAAAAATGTACAGCTTTAAGACCAAAACATACTCTGTTTAAAGACACAAACAGAAACATACCGTCTTGAAATATATTACTGAAAGCTGTGAGCGCCCATTGACCCCAAAACGAGGCACACAACAAAATATTTTGGACATAATCAAAACAGAGAAATGGAGGAGATCACTTGTCCTCCTGTGCTTTTTTAAATAATTATTATTTGAATCCATTTTGATTAAAGGCAGAATTCTCCTAGTCTGGAAACCAGTTAAATCAGTAACCTCAGGTTAAGTCACTCTGGCTGATGGGTCTCCCATTCAGGACCGATTTCCATGTGTTCTGAAGCTGGTTGGCCCATACGCTACATTTTTCTAAAATAGAGTGGGCTTGATAACTGACTAGGGAGCGACCAGTGGGAGCACTGCTGATGCGTTTTTATTAACAGCCTTGATGTCTGTTGTTGATGTCTGCCACTCTGCTCTGCATCAAACTTATTTATGTATTAAAGGTTCAGTGTGTAGAATTTAGTGGTGAATTTGCATGTAGCAGCTGAACACCCTTCACCTCACCCTCCCCTTCCCCTTCCAAACATAAAAAACTTGTGGTAGCTTTCAATTTTTATGAAAACTCAAAAGGTGATTAGTTTGTCCAGTCTGGACGACTGTAAAAAAACATGGCAGCCTCCGTAGAGAGGACCCCCTCCCAATGTAAATATAAAGTGTTTAAATATAAAGGGGCAATTCTAGGGTAAAGATACAACAATTTGTACAATTTAGATGAAACACACTAGTGAGAACATTGCTAGTATTAATTTATATTCTATTTCTGCCAATAGTTCCCTTTCACCTAAATCGTACACACTGGACCTTTAAATGGTTGTAGGTCTTTTCTGCAACTGTCAAAAACGCCCTTTGAAAATGGAAAATGAACAGTTGGGTTTCAGACTACTTCACAGATGTGAATTGTTATGGCGATGCCAGGGTGGCATTCTCCGGCACTTAAAGAAGAATGTGCCATAAACAATAAACCAGGACCTGCCTCAGTTAAAACTCTTGTCTTATACACTTTCACACCTGTTGGCTCTCTTGGTCTGAACCACGACAAACATTGGTCACAAACTTTTTAATTGATTCAATAAACTGCCAAAGTTTAGGGAGGATAGAAGCACAATACACACTTTTCAGTGATTGGGCATCCAGTTGATTAGCACCAATGGTTGACTTGCAGCTTTCGTACCAGCCCAAATGAACCACACTAGTTTTAACCAAACCAGACAGGTTGGAAAGCACCATAAGTGGCATTAATTATTATATACATATATTTATATCATCCGAGATAAGCTGACAGTGAACCTGGGCCTTTCAGGGGCCAACAGCGGTTGTATGCTCTGCTCAGTTGGTAATCCAGCCAAACTCAAAGATCAGCGCCAGCAAAGAGGTTTCGGCTGATGAAGAGTGTGAATTCACAAAGTTGAACTCAACTCAACAACTAATACTGACTTGTGTAAGGTGTTGTGACTGGGCCCCTCACATAATCCAAGAGTGAGCATTAGTTAGTTTCACTATAAGGCAGCAACAGAACATACAGAACAACACCAGGAGAACACTGCCTACTTTGATTGGTGCCTAAGTTTGGTTGTTTGAAGTGTGCACTTAAACAGAGTATGTTTCACGCATTACAACAATTAACCCCCCACTCTCCTACCACCTGCCTTCACCAACAACCAGCACTGAAACATGCAGAGATATATAAAAGGTCTCTTCACACTATACAATGGTCAATTCAACAGCAACATCTTGAAGTCTGAATTTAGATTAAGAAAAAAACATTTGAAATGTTAATGTTATGTTAAAATCAACTTTTTATAACGCAACCATTTTGCCGAATAGTTTCGTTTTCTTATTTCAGCACCACAACAACGTCCCTGTGCTCCAGTGCAGCTACGGAGGGATTATTTGCAAGACTCGGAACATCACCATGAGCCTCTATGGACCAGAATGCAGAGCAGCCTTTTAGAGTGTTTTGAGTTTGTAGTAATGGTAGTGACTCTCACTGTCTTTGCTGGAACAACCATTTCTTCAGCAATCAGCAGCTGAACGCAACAATTTCCATGTCCTCCTCAAAGGGAGCTGAAGGATAATTCTGGCTTTATTTCAACAGAAGCACAAAGCTGATAACAAACCCAGCCTACACCCATTTTGATTAGATCCAACTTAGCTTGATTGGTACTGCCAAATTTAAAGCCCAAACCCAACCTGAGACCTGAAGCTACATTTTCTTTACTTAATTCATTGCTGATCATCAGCTCACCAGGCTAATTGCAAAAGAAATACACATGAAAAATAACCCAGTGTGAACCGAAACCTGAAGCTTTAAAGCTCTTGTTTCCACAGTTTCTAAAAGCCAATATTTTAAACCATGAAAAAAAAAATCCAACATTTGAATAAACCAGAATTATCCCTTAAAAAGATGAGGCAGATTGAGTTGATAAATAGTACACTAAAATGGTACATACTGATGCTTCATCACAAACTGGTGAGATTTACCATTGTAAGAGGATCTGAGGAGAAATGGTCCTTCAATGCTGCGTATATATCTACACTACAATCTATTCAGGGTGGCATCATAGCCCAACAATCACATAAATAGTCCTCGGAATCGGACAGTCTCGGGTTTACTCACAGCAACATGAATCACACCTACTCAAACCGAGTCATTCTTTCTAAGCTGATCAGCTAATTCACGTCATGGACATGTATTGACATATCAAGGGTCCACAGACCCTCAGTAAAGGGCTATAGAGTTCCTCACCTTTCCACGGCAAAGTTGCCCACATGGCTGTTAGCGCTGTCAGTCCCCACAGGACCGGACCTGATCTCTAACTTGGCAAAAAACACTTGACTGCTTCATCGAGTGTGCACATGGGGGGGGCAGGGATCAGGAGAGGCAGAGGGAACTGGGGTAGGAGGTAAGGGTGCAGACTGGTGTGGGGAGGCCATAGTAGAAGGGGGCAGTGAAGGGGAAGAGGAAGAAAAGGAAGAGGAGGACCCCCAGCAGGTAGGAGGAGAGGACGAGGAGGCGTTGGGGGTGCTCCAGGGCTGTGCTGATGGCCGGGAAACCCATGTAGTTGCAAAAGGAATGGCAGAGGACTGGGCCCATCAGGTGACCTGAAACACACAGCAGGAAGGTGGGTTTCACTTTATGCCTTACTGGAAAGTGCTGCCCTGAAATGATGAACGCTGACCTTAAAACAACGTGTTCTCCTAAGAGTATTCAGAGTTGTTATTAATGGGGGTGTTATTTGGTCATCTTAGCTGCTTTCTCCAGAGAGCCTGGTTCTAAGCGAAACTCCAGAGATCCTCCGCATTTCCTCCGGAGGATGGTTATGAGTGAACACAAATGTCAGAGTGAGAGTCTCTGCAGTTTCTGTGGACTTTCTCCACCTGGCCCCCCCCTGAGTATAAATCAGCAGAAAGTCCACAGAGTCTGATGTGAGAGCACAGCAGATGAGCCCCCGCTGGATTCACCGAGAGGGGGGTTGATGGTGCTTCTAACACCTGACAGACGCAAGTCAATGAATGAAATTTTATTTCCATATTCACTAATTCACAATTTGTCTTATTCGGTGCAACACCCTCATTAGAGGAAGGAAAAACCACCCAAATAAAATGTGTTTGATTGATTGAAGAGACAGTTTGTAACACAATGGAAAAGTGTGATGTTTAAAGTATTTGTACATAAGAAAATGTCTGCTAGAGTCGTAGGGAGCAGTAATGACGAATGAATTGTGGAGTAATTGTCAGTAAATGGTAGAATATGTGAGTAGGCGTCTTGTAGTAATAGTCCATGATCAGCTGCCGCTACCATCAGGATCCACCACCACAATTGGATGCCATCATGTAAGTGGGAAAAAAAAATGAATAAAATATCTCCAGGTGAAAAAGCGGTGTCATACGCATAAAAGAGAAAGACAAAGATGTCAAGATTTCAAGTTTTTAGTGATAAGAGCTGACGCCAGTGTCAATGTCGAAGACATGTCGGAAAACGGCATTTAAAGGGGATGGCATCGGCCCTCATCCCCCTACTAATCACCTGCTGTGTCAGATGTAAATAAAAGCTCCTCACCTGTTCTGATGAAGATAAAGGCAGTGTAGGCCCCAAACACCGCTGTGTAGGAGAACTGGAACACTGTTGAGGACCAAACAAAGAACAGTTCATCAGCTTCGTCCTACTTACTGCGTCACCCGGTCCGCCCATGTGACACAGCAACAATGAATACGCTACATCCATTGAACACAAGTTCTCACCTGCAGAGAGAAAGATTCCGGACAGCGTTCCCTGTCTGAACCTCAGCAACTCGATCACATGGTGGAAGTGAGCTGCAAAACGACAGCATTAGAGAGCAAGTGCAGCAGCATGATTTGCCATATGAGCAGAACTAAATCTACATTAAAGACCAAATTGAAAGTAAACAGTGTGCTGAGGAGCACCCACAGTTGCTTCATTACATAGTGATACAGGAGGAATCAGCACTATGTGACAGTAACTCAAGTAAAGGTCTGGTTGTACTGTTTTAAGCACCATATCATCCATGTTTATTATATAAACCAGTATACAACAAGTCATTGTATCAAAAAGCCTTTTTTCCCCAGGGAATCACTTGTTTCCATTAATTACCATTAGCATTAAAATGTTCTTAAGTCGATTCACCGTTCACAGTGAACATCAAGTATGGATCACAGCTGCATTGTTTTTCGGGTACTTACTAGCAGCACAATATCTAGCAAACTTTGACATCATCCTATAAAAAAACAAAAGAAAATATGGCTAATGTGTTAGCAAACAGTTGCTTATATACACCCAGCAGACATGAGCAATATCAACATTCATGAAGAATGACATTAGTGTTCAGGTAAAGACAATGACTCAAATATTCTTCACTCATTTGAACCACAGTACAGTCGCAGCCCATAAAATCAATCGAGTTCAAACTGGGTGGAACCGCAGAGTCACAAGAAGGAAATAAATGTTGGCTCCATCACTACAGTGGTAATATATATTATTCATAGTGATTTGATCCATTGTTAATATAAAAGTAATGATTAGTGCAGTTTTTTGGAAAGTCTACAAATTTTGGCTATACAAAGATATTCACTAAAAGTATTTGCTAAAAATTGGTTTTGGAAGAGCTTCACTGCCCTGCATCACACATCTTTGGGGTGGGTGTTGGGCTGTCCACATGTTCAAATGTCCATGTTGAAATGAACACACTGTACTTTTGTGAAAAAAAAATAATAGAAGTGCCATCGTCCATCTCTTCCTCAGTTATGGTGTGGAGCCAGAAGAGTGGTTTTGCAGAACATTCACAGTGAAGTTAGGGTTTGGTTATTCATTTTCACAATAAATATATAATAAAAGCAAACATCAAAAACTAAGGAGTGCACCAAAGGTTGATTTTATGCTACAAATACATTCTGGATTCTGTGCGTGAATATTTTTAAATGTGGATTTTGTGTTGTCCCCAGTTGGACAGGTGCTTGTGATTTGTTGGTTCATGCTTTGTCAAATCTATATTTGACAAAGTCGATGCAGGGTCTTTTAGGTTGTGGCCCTGCTGTATTAAACTCTGATGTTTTCACTCACCCACTCCAAAGAAGAGAGGGCAGGTGAAGATAGCCAAAGAAGGGCCAGCACACGGCACCAACATGGGCAGCATGCAGGCCCTGAAGACCAGCTCCTCTGTCAATGGCGCAACCACCTGATTCCTCAACCAGCGCATGTCACTGAAACACAACGTCCAGAAGCACGGGTCTGCAGGAGGACAGAGACACGACAGCAGGTTGTTTCCTCCGTTCTGAAGAAAGCACTTTATTAAAGTTCACTGACATATTTCACACTGAAGCACATATTTCTTGAAGCAACGTTTTGACTGAGAAATAGGCTTGTTTAGTTGAAGTGGAAATTTTTAATGATTTGAATTAAAAAGCAAACATTTGGCTTACAAAGGCCCTAAACATGGAACACGGAAAAATCCAGCATGCTGGCTATCTCACCAAGGGCTACCCTGATCCCATCAATGAAGCTCCAGGGACAATCCATGGCCAACTGCATAAGGGGGCCCAAGAACAGGACCTGCACAGAGGACATTTAGGCTTAAAACATAGTTAAAATGATGCCGTTTCGAGTCAAATTCGAAGGTCGGGGCTTCCGGACCCTTGGATGATACCACAGGAGCAGTATGAAGGCATTTTATGTTTTTTCTTTTCTTTTTTTAAGTTAGAAGAAGTGGTCACCAGTTACTTCAATTGTATTGGATTTGGCAATACCCCTGTAACTCGAAAAACTGACTCCAACACTTCACCCACTCTTCCATCTGCATAAGGGTAGGTAGATAATCAGGGAATTCTCCTTTCTGGTTGAACTATCCCTTAAAAAGTCACAATAATCCAGTGATGGCATCACTATGAGGAACTGCTAATAATAAATCAGCATATTTTTTAATGGTGCTAATTTTCAAATGGGGCATAGGTTGTAGTCTCTGACTCCATAGCAACATATGGCTTCCCGTGTAAATTTCAAATGATTGGAACTGTAATTCCAAAACCTCAAGCCTGATTATTCCACAAATTTTACAAAAGAGTAATGTCTGTATCATGTGTTCAGAGCCGGCCCTAGCCTTTATGGGGCCCTAAGTAGAATCATATTTGGGGGCCTTTCCCCACCTTGGTGCCGCCACTACTATTGACTATTGTCAATGCATAGTTGTAGCTGTGTTGCTTATACCAAAACCAACCTTTAATGCTTCTATGGTTTTTAATCTTAATTAGTATGTACAAAGGGACACACAAGACCTGTCACAGGGCAAAAAAAGAAATGTGTCGATCCGAAATTAACAAATCAGCCTTTTGTTATTTTAATATTACAAGCAATAACTCTCGCTCTAGCCATTGTCATATAGATGTTCCTTAAATGCATCACCTGCTAACCACCACCAACTACCCACAGGTGCTGCTCACGGACATTAGCTTTGATATGAGGAGGCGGGGCACGTAGTAAGCGTATAGGGCGGTCTGGTTCTGCTTGTTTTTGTATGTTCGTTCACCTTCATCTATCATTAACATTGTGGAAGTAGTGTTTCTTACCATGGTGAGCACCAAAGGAAGTATGATGGCAGGAATCAGGCCTTCAAACCGGATCCCCATGAGAGCAAATAAGGATGAGTCAGTCTGGCAAACACAAATGCACACATACCGAATAAATAAAGCAAGTCAGGCTCTGTCTGATAATACAGCAGCTAATGTGTCAGACAGCAACACGACACAATAGTACATATGGATAAGAATACATTCATTTAATCTTCAGGTGTTGAATATATAGACGATGGCTTAGTGGACTCACCCTGACACCTGTGAATTCTCTCCATGCCCACACAAAGAGAGGTGAAAGGGCCGACACAATCAGGACACTGGTGAAGCGTCTCTTAATCACAGTAGGGTGATCCCTGAGAATGGACCAGTGGAGACAATCATCACACAATCATCACCACCACAGTGGACTGGGGACACAACAAGAGCAGCTGACACAACTGAACAGCCACCACTCAGAATCGACAGGGACTTAAACCGGCCCTAACGTGCTTTCCACTGCTCCTACAGAGAATCCTCTCAGAGTATTCTTACTTTGGCATAGCTACTCCCCATCTGTCCACACAACTATTTCTTGTCCTGGAACGACATCCTCTTGGATTATTTGGTGGTTGCTCGGCAACTGCTCCAAGTAGAGGAACTTCAGCATGTTGTCCTTTTTTTTTTACCACAGCCAGGCTAATATTTCCCCCCCTGTTTCTAGTCTAAATGCTAAGTTTATGCTAACCAGCTGCTGGTAGCTTCATATCTACCATACAGACATTAGAGTGATACTAATCTCCTGCTCCACAAAACTCATAAATAAGCCCATTTATCAAAGGTTTGTTTTTTTAATGATTTTAAGTTATTAAAAAAAATCCACAGCGTTTTAGCCTCTCTACAGGTGCAGATTTTTGTTTCTACTATATATTTTTTGTTCAGTTAAAAATTCGGCTACACAAGGTTTTAGGAAAACGGACAGCGGCACAACACCACAGAACAAAGGCCACATGAATGAGGATTTCCACTCTGCAGGTGACTGTCTAAAACACATGGTTAATCTAGGCAGGGAGAGGGTTCTCAGCTCCTCAACATCTGCACATGAAGGGATTCATTTGTTATCACTGACACTGAATTACACAAAACACACTAGCTGCTTTTCAGACATGCACTGAACTCTGCAGATACTCTGTAGTTTCTCCGGAAAAGTTGCATCATCTGCAGACTTTTTAATAAAAAAATAAAAACAAATATCTCCCAGGGAAAAAGCAGTGTCATACATGTAAAAGACAATGCAGGTGTGCAGAGAGTTTGTGGAGATAGGAGCCGACGGCAGTGTCTGTGTTCTCAAGAAAATCAAGTGATTTCCACAGTAGAGTACATCCCTTCCTGCCTCTCCCTGCTACACCCAGCTCTTCCACCTCTCACCTGAATAATGCGGAGGATTTGATGCTGATGTGGACGTGTCAGTGCAAAAACCACCTGCTGAGTTGTGCATGTGTGAAAGGCAGATTCTTGATTTTACCCTCATGTCATGTCTGAAAACTTTAGAGAGTTTGGAGATTGAAGTCCAGAAGTGATCTCTAACAGCATTTACAGCAACCAGGCTCTGCAGTGTGGTTAATACTGTATCGCCTGTGGGTCGCACTGTGACAAATAATGATTGACAAGACAAGCCAGGCATTTCTGTGCATGCCTGACGTAAGATTTGCAACACAAAGGAGTTGTTTGCTTCCCTCATGCAACACAGGTTCGCAGAACATTAATAGATTTAGAAATGCGCCATTACACAAAAACTTATTTACGAGGTTAAAAGTGCTTCAAACTAATGAAATATACATTGTATTAGTGAAAAACTTGATTTGAGCAATTTCATGTTACTCCTACGAAATCTCTGTAAGCAAAATTCGCCAAGAAAACTGGTGATGGTGAGTTCTCCTAAATCTATTGTATGCACCGCGCAAGAACAAATAGGCCGATTGATCAGAGATGATCCTCAAACAATGTAAAATGATAGTACATGCCTTTAATGTATACCATTCATT